ACCTCATCGCCTCATCTTGCAGAGAAGGGAGCCTTTTGGCAAAGTGTAATACATGGAGTTAAACTCACAAATAAGTCTTTAACTGAGATGTTCTGTAATATACAGCTTATTATTTGACTTTCAGTTAATGTTGCTATATATTACATGATAAAATCCTATTTAAAAACTCATTTGAAATTATAAAAAATGCAGACTCAATTTTTACAGATCAGGTGCTCCTTTTGGGGCAAGGTTGGTTGAGTGTTTTTTTCTTTGAAATGTCATAAAATAGTTTGACCCACTTCCAAGAACAAGGTGAATACTGGGGATTGAGCTGGACTGTCCCTACAGTTAACATATTTTGACAGCTGCAGAGTTGAAAGGGGAACTCTTTAATAGTGACAAGAAACAGTCTGTGCCACAATTTCAGAATACCACAAGAAAGCAGCTGGGAGTGAAAGCTGAAGTTTCAAGTCTCTTGATTGCTTTTCTGAGACATTGTGTGGAAAGGTGTTTTTTTTTTCTGATCGTCTCCCAGCAGGTAGCTCGCAAGGGCTTGTATGACTATTTCTTGTTCATGAAGTTTATGTGATGGGCAACACTCCTGTGGATCTGAGGGTGCAAATACCTGTGGTTCTTTATAGGGTCATTCTGTACATTCTGACAGTTTCTCTGTCCCTGAGTTTCCTACCTAGAAAATTATGTTAAACAGTCAATCAAACAGAATAACAGCAAAACAAAACCCATGGAACGTTTTGATGTTGTAAAATAAATAGCTCAGAGACTGAATGAATCCCACCATACAACAATTTGTGCAGTTTTCAGTTCTTCCCTTTTGCACCAGTGTTGTTGAACAGATTCAAGCTGTGCATTAGCAGAACTCCAAGGACTGGGCAGCATCTCATGGATATGACTGTTCCTGAAGCAGTCTCAGAACAAGGCATCAAGTAGTACTGTAAGAGCCATGTTCAACTGAGGTCTTGTTTACAAAATATCTTTTCCCATTGGCTTTGAATATGTTAAATTTATTTCACTGTGTGGAAATCTTCTATAAATTTCCTTTTAATGAAGCTTTACTTGTGTTTTTCAAGCTCAAGATCTTCCTTCTGAATTTAGGAAATAAGGGAGGATTGTTTCTTTGCTTTTTGTGTTCTGTTTCTCTCTAAGCAGAATAGATTTTGTTGATCTTCAGCTTCTGATCCTTCTTATTACCTGCTTCTGGCATTGCTTTTATTCCTGAGACTGTATTTTAGTTTTAACAGCACAGAAGGACTCGGTTCATATCCAGGGAAACGTTCTTTCTCCTGAGAGTTTCCCTGACTCAAAGCCTTCCACCTTGCTTCCCCTAGGGTGAGCCATGTCATCTATTATTAGTGCTAAACCCTAATGGGCAAAGTTGAAGTGGAAAATCTTGTGGAATAAGTGAATACAGTTCATTGGAAACATCCTTCAAGTCAGCGATTCCAAAGAGCTGAACTTAAATTGTTTAAAACAAATGTTTAATGGTTTTAATCTTCCAAAGAGCTAAACAATTTAATTGTTTAACAACTGTGGCCTATTAATTACACAGCAAAGTGGAAGCAAATAGTTGTATCAGCCCAAGATATTCCAACAAGCATTCACTGATAGTTGGCCAAAACATTCCCACTCTTTTTTACTACCCTGTCCTGAATAAGTGCCAAGTTCTTGAAAGGAGGAGTGCTTGCAGGCTTGTAAAAACTAAATTCAGGGCACTACAGATCAGGCTGATGTGCCCTCTGACATTCCTTTCTTTAAAGAGAGGTGTTTGACATTGATTATATTGACCATGAAGAGAAAACCAAAGAGGTAACATTTCCTCTTGGAAATCTTAATGTTAATGCTCAATCTTGGAATCCTGTTGACGTACTGAGCTGCTTTTGTTTTCTTTGGTTACATGACTTTGAAGAATAAAACTATTCACAGTCCGAAGTAAACTATTATGCTATGTCGTATTATCTTCTCTTTTTGTGCTTTATATATGAAAGCAGGTTGATTTCAAGAAGCTAAATGTCCTAGCACATCTGTACCCTTTTGAGTACTTCCAATTGTGTGTCTGAATGTCTCATCCATGTAATTCTCTGTAGTATTTTCCTCTGTCCTTTTCCACAGTAACTGTTTTGAGCATTTCATTATCATTTGTTACTTATATTAGTTTTATTACTTCAAATTAAAAGTAACTATAACAAGCACAATTTGACAAGCACTCAGTTTCTAATAAAGTAAATCAGTCAAATTTGAAAGACTTTCAACTGTATTTTTATTTTACAGCTTCCAAAAAAATGCATTTACATGAAACAATGTCTACTAAATGAGCAACTCAATTAAAAACATGATACAAGTGTACTTCCTTCATTTAAAATTTAAAAAAAATAAAATCCAAATGATACTGACAGAATATTTGTGTTGCATAATTATTATGTGGGCTAAATTTCCCTTCTAATCCCAGAAGTGAGGCTTCTTAATGGAAAGTGTTTCTTGAGAAGTGCACAACCCTCTGTTTATGTTGTAGTTCATGTCTCATTCCATCACATTCAATCATTGGAAAGCATGTAGCTGTCTGCTACTGGATCTGTCCTGCCTCGCATTTGCCATTGGCTGTGTTGCAGGCAAGTGTGTGTATTATCTCCCTAAATACACGAAACAGACTAAGGAAGTGTTTTCAGACAGTTTCCATGTGTTGCTGCTTTTAAAATGTGATGTTGTAGCCGCTTACGTTGGGCAGGTTGGAATGATTGGTTTTCTAACTTTGAAACAAAATCTTTGTATTCAGGCTGAGCTTATATTTGATGTGTATGATACTATGAATTCTAGACCTTCTTTTCCAGTTTAGTGACTCTAGTCACTTCAGTACTCAAATCTTCCTGTTTTGTTCAGCACATGAATGAGCATAAATTAGGACCCAGATACGTAAATCCCGAGAGCACTTTGTTATAATAGTTCAGTAACAAATTTCATTGAGTGTTTGTACCTCCAGATGGATTACCGCCATGAATAATGGATTTTCATTTGTAAGATTTTATTGGCTAGGAATTATAGTGACATTTCAAACCGTATGGCAATGGATTGGCCCAATTTGGGATGAGTAAATCCTGAGGGTATTCCAGGGTTTTTTTTATTGTATGGATTAATCTCTAGCTGGCATGTTTTGAGACTGATAAAAGATTCTGTCATTTAGCTATAGCATTTAATAATGCTTGCAGCTTTTGGTGCTTTTAATGAAAATTTCCTAATAAATCTTTTGGAGGTGCAGTTTGGTCTGGGCCTATGATATCTTGTTAATGTCATTTGGAAAGAAGCTGGTTCTGTCTTCAGAATTGTTTTGAATTTGTAAAATTATTAAATACAATATGGTATTTTCAGATTATTCATTCCTGTATCAATTGGAAAGCTTAGCAACTACTGAATGCTCTGTTTGCATCCAATTTAGATATCTTTTGATTTTTGTGTATGTGTATTTCTATACGTATACATATGGCTGCACACATCAATACACTGCATCAAGAGTGCTAATGTTAATTTGCAGGAAAACTGAAGTGATACCCTAGAAGAAGTAGGCAGGAGAAAAATTACTTGAGGTAAAGATGGAACTGAGTGGTATAGATCACCTTATGTTAAGCAATTGCAACAGCTTGCAAAGCAGGGGTCTCGGGAGCTGTGTAATTCCACAGTGCTTAATCTAATGGTCAATCAGCTAATGCAGTTTCTGTTTAATGTTTAGTTCAAATCAATGGAGCCATCTGGGAGCAGCGCATCAGAGAAAGTTTATAGCTCAAAGAGTCTCTGCCATGTTTATTTTATAAAGATACATAAATATATTGATACTTAAGGCATAATTTGTAGAGACGGCCAAGTGTTGCAGATCATACAGTTTCAGTTTTTTTGTGTTTTGTGTTTCTTTACTTTGGAGGGGAAAAAAGCAAACATTGCTCTTAGAGACTTTGAGTTGATCATCATGTAAAAAAACCTTCACCCCATTCAAGTCATGGGTGATTTATATGTACTGTACTCTCTGAAGTATCAGCAAGATAATAGCTATTATTCCCAAAGTTGTGCTTGACTTCACTAATATTACTGATGCATCAGAAATAAAAAGAGAAAATTTGTCATGGGCAGGTAAATGAGATTAAATGGAATAGCTGTGCTAGGCTGAACTGCTTTCAAATTAAAACAAATTATCAACACAGAAGGACAAGAAGTGTGCTAAAAATGATGAAGCAGGAGAAAAAACACAGAGCTTATTCCTGAAGTAATAACTGTTTCCTTTACAGTGGGATTGTACATGTAGCCGAGTAGAAAAAAAGTGCAACCGTTCCTCTGTAGTTTGAGGAAATTTTTACTTGCGTTATATAATGACATGCATTATTCATTTTCTAAGAACTTGATATTTTGCTAATTAGTGAAACAAAGTATCTTTTTTCAATAAAAATAAATTTCTGTTTAAGACGTGGGGTTGGTTTGTTTTTCTGACAGTACGTGTGAGCACGCTCACCTTAAAATGCAACTTTCCATTTTGATAATTCTTCTTTGAAAGGGGACAGGAAAGAGATGGGTCACACATGGAGCCTGATGTTTCACAGACTGATGCTGTCCTCCCTTGTCATTTCTGTGATGAATGAGCAGTGTCTGACTGATGAAAAATATGTATCTGTCAAGGATGCGTTTAGGCTGATTCATCTAATAAGTCATTTCTTGCTGTCCCGTTATAACCTACAGGCATCTGATTTCTAAGGGCTGTCATTTCATTATACGACACTGCCACTCTATCCTGAATGGGTTACACAGGAAGGAGTTTGTCGATTTTAAATACTTTCTCTTGGTGTTCAGCTAGGAAGTATTTCTTCTTTCTGATCATATTATCATTAATTATTTCAGTATCTCCTTGTAAGTCTTTCTAGAGTTAAATGCACATTCATGCTGTTGATTCCCTGTAGATTTCTGATATTTATGTATTAATGGTGTGACAACATTCTTAATTTTAAAAAAATTTGTTTCTGGTGCAGGTAGAAGAGGGCTGGTGGGAAGGTATCCTTAATGGAAAGACGGGCATGTTTCCTTCCAACTTCATAAAGGAACTGTCTGATTCTGATGATGCTGGAATAGCACAGGAAGAGCAAGTAAAGCCAAGTAAGAAAATGAAATAATTCTTCATGTTCTGTATGTACATCTGTGTGCTTTCCCAACATATTGAGAAGGTAGTTGCATTCTTATCTCTTTCTTGGAAATATTTTTGAATGCTTTATTCTTCATTTATATTGTGAAAGTGTCAAGTGATGATGCTAAGTGAGTACTGGCCATGCTACTTGGTTTGTAATGCTGGCGATGCTACTTGAGTTCTGTTAAGACTTGCCCAGCTGCAACAGATTGAGGACACGGAGGGCAACGATGACTATCAGCTTTGTCTTTCCAAATGAATTAAGATTTTTTTCTTGTCTCTAGATGTGGAAATTGAGCAAAGTAATCAAACATTTTCAAAGTGGCTACGCTTATTTAAATGAGAGATTAAAGTGCCATTCCTCCTTCAATGACTCCGGTAGACTTAAGGATTCATAATTATTGGTGTGGGACATGCGGCACTTTTTCCCTCCAGGTGCTGAGCATGTTACTATCACCTCCGCCACCCAGTGCCCCAGCAGCCAAAGGGAAAAAGGCCAGAAATGGGACATGGACTTTGTTCTCTCACTTACAGTGGGCCAGTACTGCTGCAGGTGAAAAGCATGTTTGGTAATTAAGTTTGCGACAGTATAAGCATGGTAGTGGGTTGCCCTTTTTATAGCTTTCCTTGAAGAATAACCTGAACCAAAAGTATGCATTTCTATGAAGTGGATATTTGTTGGTCTTCGTGTTTTTTTCTGTTTTTCAAACAGTCTGTTACATCCTGATTTAGTGATTGATTTGGAATCCTTAGTGAAAAGAAAAAAAGTCAATTGTATTGATGTATTTCAGGATAATTCCACATCTACCTACCAAATTCTTCCTTTACGGTCAATTACTATTTTCAGCAGTGCAGGTATTCGTTGCTGTGTAGTATTCTCCTGAGATCTTTGCAACAGACAAATTTGAAAGGGCTCCCAAGATCTCTGAAAGCTTGTTTCAGCTCAAGTTTACCAAAGCCTCTGTAGCTCACTTTGCCAGTGAGAGGCAGAAAGTTACAATGTTTCTTTTTTATTGCCTTTTTTATTCTTTCATTTTTCCATTTAGGGCAACTTTATCATCTTTATTCTGTCACACAGAGATAGGATTCTAAGAAAACCGGTGTATGCAATGATGAAAATATTTCCTATTGGTTTTGCAATAGAGTTGTTATTCACATATAGTCGCACAGGTGACCTAGTTACGTGGTCAGAGGTGCTAATGGTGTTTACAGGTAATGTTTCTTTACCCAAATGAAAACGTGTGTAAAAAAGTTAACAACTGTAGTGTGTTGGAAAAGAAAGATGGGCATTAAGTGAATCTGCTCACTTCGGCAAGATGGCACGCTGCTGCCTGTAATTCGTATATGCTGTCATGAATTTGTGTCATTATAAAAACAGCAAGTGTTGGAAGAATTAATTGTATAGATGTAGTGTTAGCTCTGCATTCTGTAGTGCTTGGTAGCCTGTGAATGAAAAAGGTAAGTGATACTGTTAGGGATGGAATGCCTTGATTCTATCTGTATGAAGAAATAAATATTTCTTCCCCTGGTAGTTTGATAATTGTCTATACTGAGCATCCTAAAAGTGTCTTTTAATAAAAGCACACATTGGAAAGCATAACAGCAGACACAAAGCATTAGATTGTTCCATCAACCTCCCAGCCAGCATATGCTCAATTCATACTGTCAGTTCTGTGTGCTAGCGGTGGTGACTGACAGCTATCACTTGTAGGACTTGCACTGAGAAGATACCAGCAACAAAGGTATTGGTTTTGTCTCTTTAACTAAATTGAAGATTTACCTGAGAGATAATTTTTCCCCTCTCTTTCATATCCGTTTTCTAATATCATAAACCAGAAGAATTCTGTGAGCCCTCAAAGAGACAAAAAGGGATTCAAGGAATGTTGGTGTTCTCGTGGGGGCTTTACTGCTTTTTTATTTTCATTTATTTTTCTTAAAGTAACACTGCCAATTTAGGAACTGTATTTCCCTAGGAGAAGTAGGGAATTATGCACCAGCTCAGTACTTTCTATATGCTTTATATAATTTTTATAGGTGTTATATTCATTACACATGGTGCTTTATGAGGCTATATTCAGGTACCCTCTCTGTATTTGAAAATCTTTATAATGAGATTACAAAACTCTACAAGGTTATACATATGACTAGGAGTGATAATCTCATTTCAAGTATCTGTGTTTATTTCTAAAAACACAGCAAGATAAAAAGCAGCTAAACTCTGGAAGATTTGGACATAAAACAAACATAACTTTCTAGGTAATATCAACTCCCCCCTCCTAAATTAAAAACACGACAGCACGTCAAATCTGCAAGAACTTTTTATTTTTGGTTTTTTTTTTCAGGAGACGTTGTTTCAATCTGTATCCATCATAGGATTTTATGAGGCAGAAATCTTGAATATGAATTCTGGATTGTTAAGGTTTTTTTCTAGATGAATACTTGGATCCAAGATGCTTTACCTGTGCATTGAAACAGAACCTTGGGTGGTCACTGAGGTTCTACATAGCTCCTAGAGGGTCCTAGCTGGTTTTGATTCCAGCTCTGCAATCTTGAGCAGAGGCCTTAAACTCTTCAGCATAATTAACAAAATGGACTGCAAGGCTTGGCAGAGTAGCATGGGATCTTTGGAGAAAGGACGCTGTGCAAACACAAGCATATTGATAACTTGGTAGTTTATGCGTTAGTTCAACTTGATGTTTTAATTTCATTTTACTGACCCTCTCTGGAGAGAATCTTTTTGAAGGCACAAATGCAATTGTTGATGATCTCAACAGAAGTAAGAGAGTGAAGTTGTATAGCTTGGCTTTTTAGGAACAAAGATAATAAACGCACACATTTTTCTTTTCTTCTATTATGTACTACAGAGATCTAATGGGGAAAAAGATGCTGTCTGTTTTTGTGTCCTTTTACATTTTACAGCAGATCAAATGCTCAGAACGAATTACCTTGGTTTCTTGGTTTCTTTCCACTTCTACCAATGACCTCAGAAAATGCTTTAGAACAAAAATCTGTGGTTGTTTTTGTTTTTTTAAATGCCTGGGCTAGTTTTGGAAGTGCCTGAGAAAACATACAGTGGGTTTTATTAGCCCCTTAACTGAAGGGGCCGGGAACTATGCTTTATAGTAGGTAGTAGCAGATAGTAGGTAGTAGGTATAGATAGTAGATAGCAGATAGTAGGATAGTAGGTGCTTAGCAGATTCGAAAGTGAGACTGTTACAAGATCAAAAGATAAATGAGGCCTGTTATGTCTCAGTGCCTCGCCTGTTCTTCTGTTCAGAAGTTGCCAGGCCCTATCAACTCTGCTTAGATCCTGTCAGTGATGGCCACTGAGAAGTCATGATTGCAAGAGCTAGAATCAGTGACTGCAGCTGATGCTTCAGTCAGGCAACCTACTGTATTTTCAATTAAAATTTTCTGGTATCTGTTCCTTTCTGTCTGACTCTTCACTGTCACGAAGCTTAATATATCTTTCTCTTAGGATTTTCTTAATTGTAGCTTGAATATTTTAATAGCTTTCTTTTAATGGTATCTTGTGTAAGCAAGGTGAGAAGATGAATTTGTGGCGTTTTGGCTTCCTTATTTTGTAAAAATAACACAAGGAAGATATTTTGCTGTTAATTGAACTACAAACACAAAGCAAAGAAGCTGCTTTTTACAATGTATAAATAAGTTTAGCTTTTGTTTTCTGAAAAATCCAACAGAATGATGTGCAAGAAAAAGATCTACATTTTTTGCTTCCAAAATGGGTAAATGCTATATTGAGAAAATTCATGTGCACTATTTTGCTATAAAATTCTACTGAAGACACTCATTTTTATGATGGCTCACCTAGATATATTGTCAGCAAGCTGACATTGATAAATTTTTGGGCTTGCCTGGGTACCTTGGGTTAACATAATGAAAAACAACAGAACAACTCGGGTGCTTTTACCTTTTGCCTTCACTTGAATTTGTGTCAATTGTCAGAACATGAGTTGTCTTGTTATCAAAAAAAAAAAAGAAGAAATTCATGCTTTTGATAGTGAGAACTTTATCTTAAATATCTGAATAGGAGGTGGAATTTGGTTTGTTAATGTGTGACAATACAGCCAGCTAAGCCACTGGCTAAAAAACTGTTCTATTCAGGTTTCGGTGCTCAGTTTGGCTAAGCATTGTTTAAGACCAGGCCCTGAGTCAAAAACAATTGTAACAAGTCCTCATGGAAAAATGCAGTATTTCTGGTGCTCACAGGATCCTGGTATATTAAAGAAATTTGAGTGTTTCAGTGTCCTCTTTGGATTTCAGCTGTGCTCGTTCAGTGCATCTGCATCAGGACTGTTGAGCCACTGTGAGTACATCACTGCAGTACTAACTTCTTTCAGGCTTCCCCTGTGCTCCGTGGAGAGGCTGAATAAGGCAAATCGTTTCATTTGCAAGTTTTGCAACATGATGGACAACAGATAAAACCTAAGAAAAAATGCGTTCTGTTGGACATTATGAAGAACAACCTCAGCAAAATCATGAGATTCTATATCTGATAGACATGCAGTAAGAATAATTTAACTTCATGTACAATCGGATACTTTTGTTAATATTCTCATTGTTTTGCTATAATGAGGCTTTAAAAATGTTAGAGACTGAAAATACAGATTAAAACCTCTTCCTCTCCCTTCTTTTTACCATTATTCGATCTTTTCACCCCCACCCCGCCCCTCCTCCTTTTTTTTCCTCTTTCCTTCTCTTGCTTGCTGTCAGGAAAATCTGCCTTTGAAGGGACAATTCTGTACAGAGTGGCACCGGCAAAGATTGACAGCTACAGACGCTATAACAGTGAGTGTGTTTCAAAATCAACAAGCAATAGCTTTAGTCCTGAGTACCTGTTTGGTTTCCCTACACTGCTACTCATTTATGGCTACCTTAATTGTGTATATTTGTCTGTAAGCTAAAGTCAGTTTGCTGCTAATGAGCTGCCTAGCCTTAATGCAATGGGAATGCACTCAGTTCTTCTGTGCATGTGTATGTTATATGTCCGTATAATGTACGTGTGTAGCTCACAACAGATTGTGAATTACATGGGATATTTGGGTTTGCTATGGATTGGAATAAAGACTATTTAGTCTTATCATTTTTGCCACCTGAAATATGAAATGGCAATTTGTGGTAATGGAATTGGTAATAATCACAAGTCTTTGAATTAAAACTCCATCTGCTCTACAAATAAAGTTCTCATTACGATTGCTAAATTCATTCAATATGCTATGCCTTTTTTAAGAACAACGTGTTTTTTGTTTTGTTTTAATTTACTGCATGCTCCTCTTTTGGCATTCTGTCTTTGACAGCTATTACTCACAGCATTTTGGTTGATAGATTTGTTCTGCCAAGGAAGTAGGTAAAAGATGCAAAGATACTTTCATCTCATATTCAGGTTTTTGCCTTCTGCATTTTGGAAGCATGAAACATATGCTGCTTTTCATATGCTTTTACTACTCTTGTTAATATAGAAGAGAGGATGGTGATAATCAGATGCAAGACTGAGGAAGTGAGGAAGATGGAAATCTGTCCTTCCACCTGCTTCCTCATCCAGAAATGTAGCAGAAGGAGATCCTACTGAGTCAAATTCAGTGTGACTGAGTACAAAGCATTCAGTCCTGCCCTCCGGTGCACAGGATGTTGTGCTAACTTTGACTTATAATTTCATCACAGACAGCTTTCTGTTCAGGTTGTCCAAGCTGTATTGCCCTTCCTCTTTTTTTTTTTGAACGGGAGCATTTGCTCTCCTCCCTCTGTGGAATTCTGTTTTATGCATATTCACAGCAAAGGGTAAAACAGTTGAAGTGGTAGTCTTCAGTGCTGATAAGCTTCTCTGTATGTTGTTGTTTGAAGAAGAACAGGAGTTCCGTATTCTTTCTGTCTACCAGAATTGCCCTATTTTCTGCAACCCTTCTCAGTCTTCAAACCAAGCTCTTTTGGGTGAAGCAGACTCTGACTGGTGGCCCTCACATTTTTTTTTTTTTTTTTTGCTGCATCTCATCTTACAGTCTTCTTAACTTCCTCACTCAACAAGCATGCTTCTTGCAGGATTTTAGACCGTCGTGTTCTCAGATCCCCTCTGTTTTTGAGAAGATATTTACCTACCTGATAAAGATAAGAAGGAACTACAGAGTGAATCTCCAGTGTGTTGACTTCTGATTTCAAAATCTAGCTTCAGATCAAATGCTAGCTCTGACTTTGGAGCCCTGATTTCACAACATTAATCTTTCTGGACAGCATTGCCCTCACATTGCCTTCCAGAGCTTTCTAGAAACCTACTGTCTGTGCCCTACCCTTCTTCATTTGCAGTCCACTGGCCTTCCCTCTTTTCTCCTGTTATGTAGGGTTAGCCTAAGCAAAATCAGGAAGATTTCAATCACTTTTCCTGTTGCGCTAGAAATGCACTGCATTTTGTTCTTGATAACAATACTGCCCATGATCTATGCCATGTTGCACAAAATAAATTTTATCAAACGTTTTGAAGCTTGCATGGCTGGATAGGAATCTACAGGTGTTCTTGTTAACTAGCTGCAAGACAGCTTAACCGGTAGGTTGCGTTATGTTGCCCTGGACAAACCCTTTTATGAGCTTTGTTTTCCAAGCTGACCAAAGATGTCTGGTTTAATACTACTTCCCTTGGCGCTTGATGGCAAGTTTTTCATGCTACTGAGGTATCTTGCTTTCTCAGTAAAAGTGCATCTTAAAAGGGCAGAAGTCCAGCTACATTTGTGCTCCGTTTGTTGCTTTCTGGGTTAGAACTGGGACTGAAATGGATAGTAAGGAAAATCAGATCATTTGGGACAGTTTTAAACAAAGCAAGTGTTGGCATCTCTACTTACACAGATTTTATCTCCTAAACTAACATCCAAAAAGGATGTTTCATTATTCTTCCTGTTGCGTCTATTGGCAGCTCTCTTCCTGCATATTCATTTTCAGCTGAGGGAGCGGCCAGCTATTTCTGTTTTGTATCTTATCTGTGGGCCTTATTTTTAGGCAAATGCCCACATACTTATTATGTCTGCAGTGGAGACATCTCATAGGGTTGTTTTCATTTAGGAATGTCATTTTAAACAATCATTTTAAAACAACCCACAGGTTTCTGATTGCTCCATAAGTTAAGCTTAAGTCAGAACACAGCTTTGGATGACTTATGCCCAAGGGGTGCTTTGATTCGCTGTATTGCATTGCATGAAGCGTTGCTCACCTTCTGAATCAAGCTTAGAGCTTTCACTTTACACACATATGCCAGGTGCTAAAATAATTTATTTTGAAAGCCATTTTGCAAGAAATTTTGTTACTTAACCAAGGCCTGGAATAGCTAAATGCTGTTGAATTAGTTTGTAGCCGCTTCTGGAGATATTTTCTCTGAAATATGCAAGAATGTCTCCTGCATAAGCAGCTGGCGTTGCCTTCACAAGCTGACATGGCTTTTTTCATCATTAGGATGCCAAGCCCCACTCAGCAGTAGCTCTAAACTCCTTTGGCATTCTGCTCATTAACCTGCTGTCAGAAATTTTTTGCTGCTGCTTACGCTGGATGAACACACAACAACGAATTACTTGTAGTTTTATTGATCGCGGCCCCTCTTCTCTCATCCAAGAGCTTTCTGCCGCTCCACAAAAAAAAAAAAAGCTTCTTAGATTTCTAAGGGATTTTATTTTTACTGGTTTAATTTTTCTTTCTTCCTTCACTTTCTTTTCCTTTGAAAATGCGACAGCTGAGGAACAAGGCAGATTCAATGCCTGGTTTGACAAACATTTGCCTCTCTTTCCATACACATGGACCCACAATGCTGTCAGTAATAGATATTAGATATAACGGAAGAAGATGAGACAGGATCGTTGAAACAGAAGTATTCGTGAGTAAATCTTAATTGTGTTTTCTATTGCTCGACTACTTTTGTTTTTTTCTTACCTCTTGAGGAACGGTGGCTGGCCAGAGTTCAGAGAAATCAGTGTGGTTGATATACCTAAGATGTTATTAACTAACTGCATTTAAAAGTGGCTGATTGTGAGCAATGTTAAACAAGGAACCAGAATGTGCATTTTAAGAGCTCTGAAGAGAATACAGTTAAAATTTTTAATTCAGTTTCTAACTTGATGAACTTATCTTAAATGCACAGCTGCTACAATGGAAAATAGCATCTGGGGAAGAACAATATTAAAAAATCGGTGAGGGAAAAAATTTTGGTTAAGAAATTTCTTCTGTTTTCTGAAGAAAGATGTATGGATTCCAAGGGACTGGGGTTGGTGGGTAGAACAATTATGTTGACTTGGATGAAAATAAATCATTTTAAAGATTCAGATTCCCATCAACAAGTGATTTTCCACAAGTCTCACAAAAGACCACTTTTTGGTGAGTGTCAGGCAAAGAATTCTTTTGGTGGGTGTTTGCATATCTGTTCTTTTACATGCAATAACTTGTTCCTGTACTTGGTGAGACGGAGCGTGATGGGAAAAAAAGTGTTCCAAAATGAAGAATGCGATAGTACAGCTGTAAAACTTATGAATGAATGGTTGTTTCTGTTTGCTTTTATGGTCCTTGGGGAAATGGCTGGGGATGAGATGAAGCCACCAATTTCTGTATTGATGGCTTGTGTTTGTGCTGCAGTAGATGCTTGCACTGCATTGCCCATAATGCATGCTGCTAAATGGTGCAGGACACTGCTCCCCTTGTCCCTGCATGATTAATTGTGAAAGCATAAAAATTTGGGGCTGTTTGTTACATGGCAAGAACTGTTGTGGTAAGAAAAATGAATGTGCTGAAAGGAGATGACAGAATGTTTGGGTTACTAGGTTGCATTTCTTGAAAGAGTGTAACTGAGAACAAATAATTACTAATATTGAGATGGTCTGCACCAGCCATTTGTACGTGTGCAAGGGCTGCTATGAAGGTAATGTCTTCTATTTTATGATGTTGCCCCATGATGTCAGAGTGAATGGTGGTGGTACAGCAGTAGAGGTTGAATCTTCCCACCAATATCCCATTACCTTTTGTGGAATCATAGAATCATAGAATCCTTTGATTGGATTAAAAGAAGAGACCTTTACATGCCGTCTAGTCTGCAGTGAGCATCCACAGCTAGATCAGGTTGCCCAGGGCCTGATGCAGCCTAGCCTTGAAAGTCTCCAGGAATAGGACATCAATCACATCTCTGGGCAACCTGTTCCAGTGCCTCACCACCATCACTGTAAATGACTTTTTCCGTATATCTAACCTAACTCTACCCTCTTCAAGCTTGAAACCATTTCCC